AGAGTATGTGGCAGAACTGTGGAGCACTATGTGACTCATCAGTCAGGCAATTAACCTGATAAAAATTAAACATAGACAAAAAATTATAAAATTGAATACAAATGAACAATGGTAAGTTTCAAAGCATTAAATAATTGTGTCATTTAAATGATTTTACATTAAATGGGGCTAATTTTTTTTCCTTGATGCTTTCACCTACGGGGTTGGGGTTGCTGGAGCTCTCTTTCCTGCTGTGCTTTCTTGATAGGTTTCCAAATTCAGCCACAGTTCTTCCCTCCTTACTAGGTACCTATTCTAAACTTTTTTTTAATCTGAGATTCCTTTCTCAAACCTAAAGTAAAAATGATGTGCAAGGCAATGACACAGTATCAGTTCTGTTTCCAAAAATTTCTAATTTGCATCACAAACACATTCATTTTTATCCTCTTCCTGATCCAATTATGACAGGTCACTGTAATAAGATCTCTGTGAATCATTCCCTTATATTTCTCAAGCTATATTTAATGTCTCTTTTTCAAACATAGTGTAATAAACATTAGATTTCAAAAATTCACAAAGAGAAATAAAATATTGTTCATACTAGTGCAGAAATTATTTGCCAAGAGTAAACCTGTATCTCAAACTCTAGTTTTGGAAGGAAATATTGCAGGAAACATTGTCTCATATGTGTTTCTAAATGTAGTTGAAATTGATAAGATCAAATAGCATTTAATAAAAACGTTCATCTTTCATACCCATACTCTGAGTTCTATAACTTCTGATTAGTTCATACAGTGCATAAAGCACATCAATTTTTATCTTGAGTACAATTACTGGGAGAATACCTTCAGGAATATTCCAGGAAGTCATGAATCATTTTAGTGCTTTGTTGGAACTCAGCAAAAAAAAAAAAAAAATTAAAAATCATAACTTTTGTGGTACTATGCATTGAACCCACTTTCACACTGTACCATATCCCAAGCACTTTTAAATTTTGATTTTTGAGATAGTGTCTTGCTAAATCAAAATATTGACCAGGCTAAGCTCAAACTTGCGATCTTTCTGGGATTTCAGGTGGTCAGTACCACTAACGGTACCTTCTTAGGTTAGTGTGACCACTAACCTAAGTGACCACTAACCTAATTTGCTGACCAACATCTGACATGAGGCATATACAAGCCATCACAGGCATCATCTAAAAAGTGCTCTGAGGTTTACTGGAATTACTTAATCAATGGAACAGAAATGGGAGAGCCACACTATTTTCTGTGGGTGAAATATTGACTATAATGGAAAGGTTGGAAGCATGAAAATTTTTTCAGGAAGTCAAGAAGATACAGTCTTGACTCAGAGCTAACACAAGATTTCAGCATTTTACTTGCTTTGATGAATATGTTAGAGAATAGCACGAGTAGAACAAAGTATGGTAGAAGTCCATATTTGAGGCGAAGTTACCCCTACTGCTAAAGGCCATTTAAGTGAGACACATGCATATAGATTTTCTGAACGCTGTATGAACAATTCAGAAGCCTCTTGAGAGAGTCATCATCTTAAAGGGAAGACAGCCTTAGTTGCAAAGAACTTAAACCCTTTATCTATGCCAAGCATTAGGAACACAGTAGAGAACAAGAGAGACACCTTGTTGAGAGCATTAATAGTCTCACAGAGGAATCAGTTCTCAAAAATAAGTACTACATCAATAACTACAAAATTTCAAAAATGCAAGAGCGTGTGGTGGGGGAATCTGATCTAATAGTGGCACAGGAAAGGAGCAAGGTTTGAAGTAGATTTAAATTATAGCTGAGGGTTCTGTCAAGCTAAGCAGGTAAATAGCATTCAGGAGCTACTACAGGAGCAATAAAATATGTGCAAATATAGAGAATAAATCTACTATGTTTGAAGACCATGAAAAGTTAGGGTGGCTATTGCAAATTGAAAAGGAGAAAAATAGGAGATAAGGTTGCAGTGGTTGGTAGGGATCCGCTCATAGTGGACTCAGTGACCCCATTATAAGGTTTAACTGCTGGCCTGAGAGCACTGGGAAGCCATGTGAGGATTTTGAATAGGGAGGGATACTGGTTGCAATTGCCTAGTTGAACTTCACTTTGGCTCTTTACTGGGTTTTGTTGTCTGCTGGTGAATAGATTACAAGATGGCCCAGTGGATATGAGCATCCTGGTTGAGGTTATTGCAGTAACTAAACCAACTGCCATACAGACTTTGGGGCAGGGTGGTAGTTCTAAAAGTGTTGTTTATGGGCACCTTAGCATCCTGAGGACTCTTTTATAGGGGTAAAATTATTTTCATAATAACACTAAGACATTATTTGCTCTTTAAGTCACTTTGATGTATGCAATGATGGTACAAAAGCCAAGCCTGAGACAATAAACACGCTTATTATGATTAAATTCTATATCTCAACATATTCCCAGTGAAAAACTTCAAGCTTTCCTTAAAGGTATCCTTGATGAAGCAGAAACATTTATTAGTTTTATTAACTCTCCTTCCTGAATGCACATCGTTTTAATATTCTGTCTGACAAAATGGTGAAACATTTTGCTGAAGCAGCTCAAAGTTTTTACCAGCTCCCCAGAGTAGAGCTGTTTTTCTCATGTGATTTAAAGAGGACAGATGCTCAACACTGAGAGAGAGAGACAGACAGACAGAGAGACAGACAGACAGACAGACAGAGACAGAGAGATCTAGAGTGGGTGCTATAAAATCCAAAGACAGCATACATAAAGCTAATAGGGGCAAATAGAAACATACATGGTGATTCTGTCACTTTCCAAAGCTGTTGAGTCTTCTGGTCATGCTTGTAGTATGGTTATAAATGGGATCTTGGGGTGGCCTGGAAAGCCCTTGTTGTCTGGGTATGAGCAGGGCTATGCCAGAGCAGGCTTATGATGTGTCAGGAATATAAGTCCATACATCTCCTTCCAGTTCTGCAGTGAGAATGTCAAATTGGTAGTTTGAAAGCAGACCTGATGTATATATCTACATCACGTGAATTGACAAAACTGTGTATCCGGCTTTTTATTTTAGCTCCAGAGAACCAGTTGTTAAGTATTTACCAACATACCTGTTCTGTTACTTTTTTTGTCACTGAGGTCCAGTGTTCCATATTGACTGAAAGAAGGGAGGTTTATTTTAGTGCATAGTATGGCCCATAGTTCAAGGGCTCCTAGGAGGAAGCAGTGTGGTAACAAGACCTTGCAGAGAAAATCAGTTCACATTATGTCTATCAGAAAGCAGAGAGAGAGAGAGAGAGAGAAAGAAAAAAGAGACATTACCCCTCCATGTCACATCCCCAGAGATTGGCTTCTGATAAGGCTGTCTCCTACCAGCAAGTCAGCTATGATCCAGTCATCATCCAACACACGAGGCTTTTGGGGAACGCCCCAAATCTAAATCACTGACCATTTCTGGTCCAAGTTAGGTCTCTGAATTTTTCCTTCCTCTCATATTCCCAAGACAAATCATTGGCTTTCTCCAATAACCCTTGCTTGAAATCATCTGGGTTTCACAAGAAAATTCAAGACCATATGGTTTCTCTCATTTAAATAATTCAGAGTACAAACAAAAAGCAAAACAAAAGACTGATGAAAGGAAACAGGGAGATAAATCTTTGGTAAATGGGAAAGGGCCCAAGAGGCAGAGGCCGAGAGGAGTGGGAGAAGAAAGCTGGTGGTACAGAGATCTAAGATGCATCATATACGTGGGCCAAATACCTAGTGTGAACATAAACATAGACTAATAATAATAACAACAATAATGAAAATGGGGAAAAGGGACCTAGGACAAAGAAAAGGGGATAATTGAGAGGAAGAAAGGGCCCAAGAAAGAATCGAAATGTGTTATGTGCATAAACTACTCCCTAAGAAGAATCTAAACTTCTTGTACTACAAACATGTACATACGAAAGACTCATCAATATTAAATGTAAATATCTAACCTATGATATGTGATTAATAAATGTTGAGTAGTTAATGTTAATTGAATCAAATGGAAGTCAAAAGAAGGCTAACAATGTAATTGGAATTATTTATATAACATATTCTCTGTCTTCTCAGAACATGTATTTTGAATATAACATTTACATCACTTTAGAGTTATTTATGTTTAAATGCCAAAAATCCATCCATTGAGATAAGCAATAAAGTCACTGCATTCCCTTATTTCCTATTTGCTTTCTTGGAAAGTATAAAGAAGAAAGTAAAATTTTACTAATTGTTTCTTAATCATGTATTACTTTAAACAGTTCTAATCTTCATATTCATTTAGGACCAAAAAGAGATGCTGAAAATTTTAAGGAAAAATTTTAAGGGAGAATCTCTATTGAAACATGTTGTAGAGTGCTTTATATTTTCTCTAGCTAATAATTGGAATAAAAAAGAACTCATTAATAATCAAATTTCAGTCAGCCAATGATTAATGAGAGCTTGTGGAGATGTTTGTTTTCTTATCTTGGCTTTTCTTTATTCTTTGCATTATTCATTAGAACTCACACTACTGCATGACCTGGGGAAATCAGGAGCTCTGGAACGCAAGATTTTCTTTTACTATTTTTTAGCAGTTCTCCAAAAAGTGATGTTGTGACAGGAGGTCAAAGCAATTAGCTGAGATGAAATTTGTTAACATTTATAGGTTTCAGAGATCCATTTGCCATAAAGATTCATCTGCTTAACTTTATACACTAATGAGTGGCTAGAAACCCTGCTTCAATAACCTTTTTTATTAAATCCCCAAGAGTCTTAAATTTAGTCCACTTCCATGAAGGACCAGAACATTCTGAGAGTTAAATAACCCCTCTTTTTCCAAAAGACCTTCGGATCTGGCAATATTAAAATGTATTTCCATAGCAGGTAGTTTGTCATGATGGGTGAATTTTGAGTGTGTTCCTTGGAAGATAAACAGTGGAAGATAAACAAAATGTTGGGCTTCAGTTACAGTCGAGCTTTCCAAAAGAAACAAAGTGACTAGTTAATCCTTAGTGTCCTGGAATTTGCTGGAGCATCAACCAAAAGAATATTTAGGAGATTGCCTATGTGTCTGTCTGTACATGTATCAAAACCCTGCCCCGCTGCTCTGAGAGGACAGAGGAAGACCAAGGCAGGACCACTGACCTATCTTCAGGTTAGTGGATGTGTGAAGGCTTGTATGAAACAGTTCCTAGTCACATGGTTGTGTGTGTGTGTGTGTGTGTGTGTGTGTGTGTGTGTGTGTGTGTGTGGTAGATGGATGTGACTAAAGGGAAATACAGCTGTTAGCATCACTTTCCTTTTTAACACATAAAAGGGCAATTTCTAAATCAAACAAAAGTCAAAATCAGTGACCCTTTTCCTGATAGTCATGCAAGTGGCTATCAACATGGGTCAGGTTTCAGGCAGGTTAATGTGAAAGACTTTTTTTTGGTGATGTGACACTAGATTTCTAGTTTGATAGTTCAACTTAGCTTTACTACAACTCAATTGGTCTTTTTGCCTATCCATTAATTGTTCTTGTGCATATGTGTGTGTAGTTTTCAGTCATCTCTCAGGCTATTAGAAAATACCTAGTCTCCCTCTCTCTTTCTCTCTCTCTCTCTCTCTCCCTCTCTCTCTCTCTCTCTCTCTCCCTCTCTCTCTCTCTCTTTCTCTCTCTCTCTCACACACACACACAGAGACACACAAGGAATATTCAATTTCTGTTCAATTTACAATGCAATGCTTGAGAAATATATAAAATATTATTTTGAGCACAGAAAGGAAATTCAAGTCCTCAAACCCATTCTCAATTATCAGCTTTAACTGAATCAGCGTCATCTTACCCCTCAACCTCTCAGGTCTACAGCAGACCTATTGACTTCTCTGGGACTTGGGGAAAAGCTTTTCTCTTGGCACTGGGTTGTGGTGCATACGAAAATAGGAGCTGAAATAAGGGAACCAAGACACACAGGTGCACTTATCTGTGGCCCCAGAAGGCCCATTTCCTGCCCTGGCTTGGTGAACGCACTGGGCACTTTCTGGTCCCAGTTCCCAGTACTTTTCATTGGTTCGCACTCCGCCACTCACTAGCAGCCCAGTGCACAGCCACTGTTGTGTTATTCACACTGAGCAGCGATGTATTTAAAACTGGTGAAGCAGATCAATGCTGATAGTAGCAGGTAACTATATTATTTTCAAAGGAAAACCCTCTTACTGATATATTTGTTTAAAACCTACATTTACATGGATAAAATTCCCTATTTCTCTTTGAGAAAAATGCTAATAAAAGTTGTGAAATGAGTATAGTTTTCTCTGCCTTTTGAACAATTCAAAATAATTTGTTGAAGTTTGTAGGTGTGTGATAAAATGATAATGCATATCAAAGCATTTAAAACAGTGTAGAAGTTCAACATGTTTATGATTATATTATTTTTAAGTAAAGCTCAGGAAAAAGCAATAGTTTACCTTATTAGCAGATCTGTGGTTAAATCAGATGTTGCAGGAAATAGATTTTTAATTTCATAAAGTTTCAGGTTTTAATGTTTCAATTAGGGAATAATTTCATTAATGCTCTACAAGAATAGTATCAAATTGAATTATATTAATGAATGTGACTCTCAAATATATTTACCTTTTTTTAGTTCTGATAATATGATGAAAATCCCTAAAAAGATACCAAATAATTGGTGGGGAATTTTATACTTTCAGAATTTCCCTTTGCATACTTCATGGAAAGCCAGTATCCTTTTAATTAATATTGTCTTTTGGGGAGAATATAAGGTTAGAAAGATATTTAAAATAGTCACAAGGAAACTATCTGCCAGCCCAGAATAACATGTAATTTGTTTAGCAAAAAGAACTTGAATTTTTCCACATTTTAAAAGATAGGAAAGTTAGGTAAGTGGGTAAATGTGGGCTCATGTGTGAGTCATGTTGTTCCATGGAGACAATGTTGAATGCTTTTTGTAAATGAGTCAGTTAAGGTTACTAAATATTTTGAAAATGATATAACCTTCTTAGGATGTAAAGATTCTATTATTTTGTAAAGACTTCAATTTGGAATCCATATGGGAATGGATTCAATAAACTTAGTTTTGGTTCTAGATGGTGTACTTTTAAATGAAAGTAGTCATCACCAGAAAATATGCTCTTATGTATTTTTTGAAACATAAGTCAAGAAATGTGCTGAAATCAAAGTCACATCAGAAGGACTGACCCCTAATAATTTGCTGGAAGTTCCTGTATACTCTAAACTCATGGAACTCTAGCTCTGGCTGGAGACTTTGCAAATAAATCTTGCACAGAATTGTGGACTAAAGGTTAGAGGCTATTTCGTATAAATAAGCAAAAACAGAGCTTGTCACTGACATAGTATATTACAGAAGACTTTCCCCCAAGGTTTTCAAGAATTGGAATTCATAATAAAGCCAAATATAACCTTGAAAGTCTAATGGGTAGGAGAAAATTATCATCAATTTTATGACATTTTTAAACAAGTACATTGGGGCCATGAGCTCCAGACTATTTGAAACATCCTTATGATGCTTCCTCTGGGGATATTCTTGCAATTTTAATTTCCAAATTTGGGATATCATTGAACTTCATTAAGGTGAAAATGACAGCCACGGTGTGTAAAGCACAGTAGAAGGCTTTTCATTTATATCTTTTATAGTAATCAGCAAGATACACATTCTTTCTTCACTTTACGCATTTAGACATTGAGATTCAAGCAGCAGGAACTAATTCTGGCAGGCAGTTCTCAAATATTACTTGTTCTTTTATCCACTTGTTTATTTGTCTTAAAGAAGCAAGTAAACTCATGTTTCATTCATTGAGAAAGACATGTTTATCTATTACAGATCAAAGAACAAGTGGTGTGATTCCCATGTCTGTGGAAACCCCGGGATGATGGAGTGTGTGTTAGATCTGGAAACTAAGGACTTTTTTCAAGAGTGGGATGGTGGAGAAAGAATTTTGGAGTCTGGAGAAGAGGATAAAGGAAAGAACAGAACATATACATAAGCATTGGAAAGATGCTACTACATGTACACATGTATGTGTGTTCTTCGTATCTTTATGTAATTTAATTTTTTATTGTATTAGTATATGTGTATAATACATCGTGTTTACATTCCTTGTGTGGAGTTGGTACATGTGCACAATGCACATTAATTCCTTTTATCATCCACTTTCTTTCCTTCCTTCCTCTCTGGATTTCCTTCCCCTCTGTGAAAGATCTCCCTGCCTCCTATTGTCTTTTATTTTGTTCTTTGTTTTTACTTTGGGTTTCTCCTACAAGAGAAACCATGTGATATTTGTGTGTCTGATTTATTACAGACACACAATCTAACATTACGGTCTCAAAGTGCATCCGTTTTCCCGCAAATGATTCATGTTTATTCTTCTTTGGGGCAGAGCAGGAGCTCCATTATGTGCACATGCCACATTTTCTCTATCCATTTGTCTGTGGGTGATACATAGTTTGCTCCCTAGATTTAGCTCTAATGAAATGAAAAAGCAAGGCTAAAATGAGATGAGTGTTGCTTCTATGAATTCTCTTAATTCCCTGTAAGTATGATTCATTTTATGCTTGGACTCTTTTTGACTTCCAAGCACAAGAGATTCATAAGCAATCCATGACCCACAGAGAAAAATATAAACCTGGGTCTGGCAAAGTGCAGTGTGAAGACAAGGGTGTGTTTATTTCCTTTTTCACAGTCTTGTGACTCATATTAGTGTCCATCTGGCTCGCTATTTTATCATCAATAGGAAACCAAAAGAAGATGACACCAAGTTGAAAATTTAGGGAGATCCCTGTTTCACAGTAATATTTGATGATGGGAATTTAGAGCTACAATGAACTTTTGTCTCTCCAAAGTACAATACCTCAATTGCTTTTGAAAGAAAGTAACAATAACAACAACTCCCATGCAAGCAAAATATTGGATTTTAATACAAATATTGTCTCTTTATTTATTTATGTATTATAGGAAATTGAACTCAGTACCTTGCATTTGCAGGTACTTGTGCCACTGAGCTCTATCCCTGTCTATAACTTCTGTTTTTTCAAATTCCTCTAGTAATCATCTATGCAGGGATTGTTACCCTCAATTTATAGTTGAGGATCCTGACATTCCGATACTTATAAATATTTTAATTTTTAAAGTCAATAGGACTACACACTTAAAAATCACTCTGTACCTTAGAAAATTCTTGTAGGGTACAAAAGTTGATGTTAGAAATTCAGTTGTTACTTGTTGCATATTCTCAAGAAGTCATGATGACAGCCTAGGTTAGCACCAGGGGCTGGAGACGATATAATAAAATTAGTCAAAATTTAGAGTTTAAAATGAATGGCACTTGGTGATAGTTTTGCTGGTGGAGGTGAAGGAAAGAGAAGAAAGAGGCAAATCTGACTATCAGTTCTTGACTTGGACTGCCTGGTTGGTGGAGCTACTTGAAAAGACGAAAAACCATGACAAGAAGTTGGAGAGGAGGTAAGAGAGTGGGTGGAAAATGGGTGTGAGGAGGAAGGAGCTCATAAACTGTTGCCATGATTCTGAGTGTCTCTGAATTGAAGAGCTGAGAATACATGTATATCCCACCAGATGTCTTCTCAGATCTTTTCCTTTCCCCCTTATCCATGTGATAATCCAAATGCTACTTAGGCTTTGAGTTTCAACATGCATGTGTTAAATGCATTTATGGATTGTGATAGATATTGACATTCAATAAGTCACTTAAGACTTGGATTTATCAAGATTGTAGGTAGCTTGAGTTTGGTGGATTAACTAATGGTCAACTTGGAGTACCCAGCTGAACTGAGTCAGTATAGTTTTGGGTGTGGTAGCTCCTTGGTTGGTTGGTTGGTTGGTTACATTGCCAACAGCATAAAAAGAGACCTGGAGGAGACGATGGTATACTATTGCTATAGAATTTTGTGGCAGTGGGGCTGGGGATTTAGCTCAGCAGCATAAGCTCCCTTGTAAGCGTGCGGTCATGAGTTCGATCCCTGGTACCGATTTGAAAAAAAAAAGAAGTTTGTGGTACTAATTTTCCTGAGATGAATTAAGCTGCTTCCATCATCAGAGGAGTGCAGGTCCTCACTGTTGCTGAGGGTGGCTGCAGTCATCTTTGGAGGAGCACTGATCTCTGGTCATTACCTTGAGCTTCCTGTCTCCAGTATAGATCCCTTGGCCTGGTTCACAGATGCATCACTCTGCTGGCACAGACCTTGGGGCCTTCCCAGTGCAGATCCTTCATATAGACTTGCGTGAGACATTGTTGTGGGCCTTATGGACTCATAGAGGACATTGTCATGGGCTCTAAGTCTTCAGTGCAAGATGTTGCCGTGGGATTCAGGCCCTCAGCTGAGTTCTTTAGGTCTCTGGCAAGTGGACAGGTCTCTTGCACTCCTCTGATTTTGACTTTTTGCTTAAATATTGTAAAATAATCTTACAAATTTTGTGTCCTGTTAACTATTCCCTTGCAAACTCTGACTACAACATTAAGTGAAAAGTTATTGTCTCAGAGGAATTGCTACTGTAAAGGCACTATCACCTCAATACAAATTAAGACTTGGAATTGTTGTGTCCCTTTAGTAAAAGGTACAGCCAAACACCATAAGAGGCTGCGTGGGTGAAGCAATTGACAGAGTATCAAAGTATCTTCAATGAGAAAAATGTCGGGGGTCATAGATGGACAGAGAAATGAGCAGACAAGGGGTTGTTTCTTTAGTTAGTGAGTTCCATGGACTTTGTCTGGTAGAGCCTGATAGAGCCAGAGTCTGCAAGAAGAATCTGAAACGTGTTTTCCCTCCCTGGAGGTGCCTATCAAGTGGCAGAGGGACCAAGGTGACGAAGCAGGATAAAAGTGAGGGAACACCGTTACTTTTCACCCCGTGGAGGCCTCATACAGCCTGGTTCTGAAACATCAGAAGTTGTTTGGGATCGAAGGTCTGCCATTTGGGAGAATCAGAACAGAATTCAGCACTCTGGGCCAACAACTGACTGCACAGAAGTGCCTGAACTGGTCAGACCTTCAATATGAGCTGCCAGGCAGAGGATCTGGGAGGAGCGCTTGCCAACTCAGTTCTGTGCTTGTAAGGACCACGCAAAGGGGCAGATAAGACACTGCAGCTACATGTGGAGGGTGGTGAAACCTGAGCACCTGCGTTATATGGTTCTTTGTGAGCACAAAATGGTGAGGCCTGGGGGACAGTGAGAATTACAGTAGAGAAGCGGTTCTTAGGCTGAAATGTGCTTCAGAGTAACTGGGGAGCTTTTATTTTTTGTTTGACTCTTTTTCTCTTTTTTAAACCCATACTCATGTCCCACTCCTAGAGATTCTAACTTAACGTAAGCTGGGATGTCAGCAGCAGGGTGATGAAGGTCTCCAGGGGTGATTTTGGTGCTTGTGCTGGACAAAAGCCACTTCCTTAAATGTATCAGCGTTGAGCCAGTGGTGACAATAACTAGTAAAAAGAAGCAGTTTATATTTTGGGGATTATTTCCCTTTTTAATTTATTGGTTTGTATCTTCAGCCTCTTCTCCTCATCTCCCACATTCTGATTACAGTGACTTCCATGCCTTACTTTTGGTTTCCTTAATTTCTCACTGAAATCTTCACTGAAAGGGAATTACTGGAAACCTCAACCGGGCTTAAACCCTTACATTCTTCTTACTTGGATGCAGATGAAGAGAAAAATTAAGTATGTAAACATCCTTTTTTCTTCTTTGGAAGAAAATGGCCTCCAATCTGTTTTGTTTGATCAGCTCAGTGGTAAACAGTTGAGTGAATATTTTTCTTGAAACTTCTCCTACTACCATTTCTAACCTTGCTCTATGGTATTTTTAGCTTAAAAATTATCAGTGGAATCTAGACACTAAAGCAACTTCAACTCCATTTCTCTAGCCTCACTCCACAGGCTGCAAAATAATCCTCCGGAGTCACAAGGCACAAAAAGCATCCTTTACCATACACGCTTTTCCATGCCTCTGTAACTTGGGGGTGAATCTTTCTTCTGTAGGAAGTATAGTATCAAAAAGAAACTGGCTTAGCGAGCTAATTCTATTTCAGTTATCCCTCAAGCTTATGTGTTACTGTCAATCTAATGGAATTCTTAGGAGAAGAATGTAGTAACTGGAGCATTTTTTTTTAGAGTGAAAGTTTCAACTGTTCATTCTGGTAATTGAAGAAACAGAAGTCAAAATAACATCAAATTGAGCATCTGTCTCCATTTACCTTCTCCTTCTCCTTCTCCTTCTTCTTCTTCTAACTGAGAATCAAACTCGCAACCTTCCGCTTGCCATGTTGGGAGTGTCATTTTTCCATGTAGACAATTGCTATCTTTTCTCTTTAGAAACTGATATCCCTTCCTATGAAAAGAGAGAAGAAAGGAGGGTTTGGGCTTGGGAATGGAATGATGTGATGGTCAGCTGAGTGCCCCCAGGAGGACTATTGCAGTCAGCTGCTGGGAAAACTAACATAACTCGTGTGCTGGAGGGTGAGACACATTTTTATCAAATGTGTCCAACTGTCCAACGAGCTTTGGGTATCATGAGAAAAGGAAGTGCTGTTCCTTTCAACTGAAAACTGTAGAATGTCCCACCCATTTTTTTATGCTTTATCTTCTCTTTTAATAGCCTCTTGGAAAAAATTTAAAAGTGGGTTGTGCAAGCCAATGTATATTGTAAACACTTGACCATTTAACAAGAATAGATTTTACAAGTTCACAGAGAATATATTTGAGTTAAAATTTAGTGTTTACCACATACAAGGTGAAACAGAAACTATACTATTATGCTTACTATTCTTTAACTTAAATTTAGATTTATTATTGATGAGGTGAATAGAAACTCTTGCTTTTGTTCTAAAATTTTTGCCTTTTATTGAACAACCTTAAATAATTGATTTATCCTCTTTAATTTTCAGTGTTTTACTTGAAAATTTTTTTAAAAGTCAGTTACTAGATATAATTTTAAAATAGGCTTTGAGATTTTAAAAGATCTAAGAATGTCTACAAATACATTCTGTGGAACTATTTCATTATAA